CGGCCGCGCCCGGCTGCCCCGGGCAGGACTCGGACGCCCAGACCCAGCGGAGAAACCCCACGTCTCTCGCCCCCTCTCCGGATGCAGCTACAGGGCTTTCCAGGAGCCGCTTTTCAAACAGGATCCTAATGAAAAACCAACCCGGGGCGCAGCCCTTTGAAAGCTGGTCCTCCTGATGCCCTGGACCACCGATCCAGCGCCAGCAACGGGAAACGGGGTAGTCACTCAGCATCGGAGTGAGGATCTCCACCCCCTTTATTGGTCATCGCCAGTGTTTGACCCAATCCAGGCAGGATCTGGCAGGTGGCCCGGCTGGGCAGGCCCCGGCTGGAGAAAGCCCCGTCCTTAGTTCCGGCGAAGGGAGCCCACTGAGGCGACTTTAACCAGAGGGCGGCTGAGGGAAGAGCGTGCGCAGCCAACGCAGAAGTTGCTGGAGGAGGAACCATGGAGCCAGGTGCGGGTCTGAGTCGGGAACCCCAAGGCTTGACGCGAGGCACGGCTGCTCCTACTAGCTGTTCCTGCTGAGGGAACGCAACCAAGTAACACGCAGCTGAGCAACTGGGGCTGCTGCTTTATAAGGCAGCTGGTCAAGAACACTTTGAGAGCTAACAGCAAGGCCACCACGCCTTGACCTTCCGTCCCTCTACTCCCCAGTGTTTGGAAACTTCCAAAAAAGCCACATCATGTTATTTTTCCCCTAAAATCACAGAATTGTTAGTGTGGAGCTGGAAGGGGACAGAGGACTATGCAGTTCAACCCTCTGCAACATGCTGGAACTCCACCTCCACAGGTTGGATCGATCTGAACTGTCAGGGTGAGTTTTCTTAACGTCTTCTGGCATCTAAAGTAGGGCCACAGAGCGCATTCAGTGGAGCCACAAGGTGTGTGCATGTGTAATCACAGCATGCATGAATACACACATGCAGAGATACGCAGAACGGGAGTGAAACCACCCAAACAGCTCACTGGCCATGAGAAACACGTGCACGTGGTTGGCTGGCAAGCAAGGGGGCTCTTATTTTTACATTTTATTGATTTTACACGTTTATTTTATTAAATATTTTATATGAAAAATTACTTCTTTCCTGCTGCTGGTATTCGAGTGCTGCAAGGAAATTCAGCCTTGTGCTGAGAGTCCCACTGCTCTTGAACCTACATCTCTTCCCCCTTCTTCCTGCTTATGGAAGTGTATGGCCCTCTCTCCCAGGACGAGAGCCCCCATGCTTTGAAAGAGAAGAAAGGAAACCCGGTCAGAAAATCTTTCCCATCTAAGAAGTACAGGAGGTCATCATCACACGGATGTCAGGACTCACTTGCAAGAACTAAAGCGCACTGAAGATGGTAATTCACCCAACCAGTTACCCAAAGGCTACATTTCATTTCTTTTCAGTATCACACTGCTCCACCGTTGTGACATCAAATGGTGATTTACGTACAGTCCCTCAGACGTTTTATCCTCAGGTTTCACACCTTCAGGAGGACGCGCCAATACATGGAGCTGGCTGTAGCACGAGGGGCTTTGTCTACTACAACTCTCGGCCAGAGCAGCAGCCAGGTAAGCAAAGCCAGTCTGCTTCTCTTGCTTATACGTACCAGGAGGACTACACCAGTCACCAGCAAGTAAAGAAACACGCGGGAAGTGCAGACGGATTCCCCAGCGCTCCCTGCCAGAAGACCACCCGAGAGAGGGAGTTTCGGGGGCACAGCGTTACAGGAGGCTGATCCCAATGAATGCTTGCTAGAAAGGGAAAGGCACAACGTTTTACAGAGGCAAAGGTTAAGCGGTCCAAGCAGCTGCATTCAACATGACCTCTGCTATCAACCTGGAGTGCCATAACGTCGTTCCATTCCTTGGGAAAAACCGGGTTACTTGCAATGCTGAAAACAAACACAGAACAATACCAGGATCCGGTTCAGTCGATCTGATTTCAGTAAACACACAGTCAGACAAACTCAGCAAAGACGACAGTGGATGCTCTGGAGAGTGTAAAAAAAGAAAAATAGCGTGCCGGCTGTATCTGTTAAATTTTCGGCAAGGAGTGTGTTACCTCGTAACTAAAAAATTATAATTTTATTAGGCAAGAGTCATACAAATGTTCTGATGCCAAAGTTATATGTAATTCTACCTAACACTGCAATGGTTTTAACAGATTTCTTAAAAAGAACATGAAAAAAGGAAAGCAGCACAGCCTGTGCTGAAATAAAACACCTAAGCATCAATTTAGCTTAAGAAAAAGAGGTAACTCCAAACTTTAGCTCAACAGCCAGAAATATTCCCAACGATTCCTCTTTTTCCCTTATCTAAGACTATGGCCACCTTCTTTCCAGAGAATCAGAGCACGCCAGTTCAAGTCATTTCTGGAATCTACAGAAAAACGTCCAATCGGTCTCGACAAACTGACATACCATGAAATGATAGTCACCGGCATGCTTGCATTCGTGAGAGTGGAACAGCGAGCATGTCAAGAATCCCAGGTTTGTAGCTTTAAACAGGAGGTCCTTCTTGTCCTGAGGGCAAAGTGACAAGAGGACAGTAATGTCTGTGGAAATTTAGTCCAAAAGCAGTGGCCAAATAAAATGTCCGTGAAATGGCACCGTCAATGTTCTTCACTGGCAAGTGAAAAAATATGCCGAAGTTGCCATGGGGAAATTAAGGTTCTGGTGACAAAGAGAGCATGCGGCCTCCCGCCCCTCCCACACCGGCCTCCTGGCTCTCTCGCCAGAGATGCTGCCGGCAGCGTCTCCTATGCGCTCCCCTCCTGATGCCCAATCCGGCCACATGACAAAGCTGTCGAGTTTGCCGTGCGTGAACTGAGATGTTTGTGGGTGGCTCTGGTCAAGCAAGAGGCCTTGGGCATTACTTCTGAAAATACCAGGCACTCAAAGACACAAGGGGATTCAACGGCAGTGGAGACATCAGATAGCAGCGTCATACTTTATTTAAAGTAAACCCATGTTAAAAACAAAGTTAAAATGAAAAAGTGGTACCTGAAAAATAAATTATTTTGATATAAAACAAAATCAATAACTTAAAAACACGCTAAATATACAAAAAAGTGTCTTAAGCATATATACTGTACAGTACGGAAAAACCGATAAAAGCCTTCTGTTGCACAGACAGACGACTTTATAAAAACAAAAAAGAAAAAGAAAAAAAGTTACACCAGTTAAAAGGGAAGCCAAGCGCGACTAAAGAGGTGCCATCTGTACCCCGCTGAAGCTATCACCAAACTCCCACTCGGTGAGACGGCACCCGCCCTGCCAGAGGCGAACTACTCCAAAGTGTGGATCAAGGAAAATGGGCCTCAACGTAAAAGTTTCCCTTCAATTCTTCTTAAATGGTCTTGTGAAAAAAGTTCCTTTTGTGGTGAAGTGATTGATTAAAAAAAACAAGAAAACCAGACTGGGTGGAGAGTTTAACTTTTCTGCAGAACTCTGTACACAATTAAGCAAAGGGAAAAAAGAGACTGGGTGGCAGTTACACTCTGGTTGGGGTTTCGTTACCGTCTGACAAAATAAGAGAAATTTCATTTTGTACAACATAAAAA